TCTGAATTCTAATTCTCGTTCTGAGAACTAGTAAGGAGGAAGTATAGTATATATACAGTAGTATTCAGATCTGTATATAGTAGTACTTCGATTCATATATATATATATATACAGTACTTGTACTACTAATAGTACTAGTAGTACTATATAGTTTTCGGTCGATATATATATAGTTTTGGGTCCCGGGGACTCATGATTGGATCCACGAGTGATCCTCCGTACTGTTCCTACGGTACTCGTTGCAAGTTCTACTAGTACTAGTACTACTAGCTAGTATTGGAAAAGGAAAAGCCTACTAAGAAGAAGCTCTTCTTGCTTTGCTTTCTTTTGATGATTATTGCTGGTGTATGATTCCTCGTATCCTGTGAAAGACATGTGTACAGCAAGGTAAAAATGTACAGTAATGGAATTTAGAATTTTGTTTTTGGCGGTAAGTTTGTAACCTACGCTACGATTACTATCAATTATCAATGCAGGATTCCTAATTTCGATCGGCACCTACAGGTATTACGTAGAACGTAGAAGTACTTCGTACGTTGAGGTACAGTACTCGTACGTACGTAGGGTATGCAGCCTGGAAGTGGTTTCCGTACCAGAATTCTAGTACTCATGGCAACGTACTTGGTACCATCTGTTTCTTGCCACAGATCTGACAGGGTTGTTCGACGAGGTTGAATATTCTAGAAGTTATCTACGTTAAGGTTAGAGATTCGCTTCATGAAAAGAAGAAAGTGTCAGGTAATGTAAAACACGTTTTTCATTCTGGTTGGTGGATGAGAATTCGAACAGCTTGCTGGATCATTCACGAGTTCTGGTTGGCCACACACTTAAGGTCTTCACATCACTATTTCTCGCTGACGAAATGAATCACGAGTTCTCTCTAGTAAATATTTTTGTGTGCGATTTTCCTAATAAGATTTACCGTACGCACGCGTAATTGGTGTACAGATATTAGAGAAGAATAATGTCCTCCGTTTAGACGAGGCCAAAAAATCTTCTTGTGCTAAAAAAATGCTGCCAAAAAGCCAACCTCAATTTTAAACGAATTTTTTATCCTGTTCTCATCATCTACTCTCACTCAACTCAGCTCGATTCACATTACAACGGCTACCAATCTTCTTGCTCTCTGCATCCTGACAACGCAAACAATAGCAGGTTTTCGAATAGAATAAACCAACCTAAAATAAAAAGTCATGGAGAAGTGGAAATATAACTACAGTCGTTTGAGTTCTATTACTGTTGGAATTTTGTTTCTGCTTTTGATATCAAATGGCGAAGCATTAACGACAGCACGGGCACTGAAAACCGTCCTCCGCCTCTCGAGTGAGGTTCTCGCCGAGAAAACGCTCGAAGAATCAAGTAAATCCTCTAGTTCGAAAACAGAAAAGTTTGCGAAGCCGCCTCGCCTGATCCCTGAAGATCCATCCCTCATACCCTCTCTATACAATTATGATCACTGTCCGTTTTGTGTTCGAGTTAGACTAGCTCTCGGATTCAAAAATATCAAGCACAACCTCGTGTTCATGGCCAACGACGATGTTCACACACCCACTTCAATGGTTGGGAAAAAAATTGCTCCCATTATGGTAAGTGGGCAACGAGAACGAAAAAATGGCGTTGTAGGAATCTCAATTTGCACATTTTGATGATGCGTTCGTTCAAGAATACATTTTAACTAAATACTCACATACTTCCCTCCAATATATTTGCTGATTTCTTCGATGTTTTCAGAGATTTCCCTCTGAAAGTGCTGATGAGGACGACCTCATCATGATGGAATCAATGGACATCATTGAATTCATCGAAAACGATGAACGCTTCGGCCCTACGAACGTATTGCGTCCCGCATCCGGACGGACCGATCTGAAAGAATGGCAAAAAAGTGTGAGGTTGTTGTTACGGAATTTGCAGCGACCTCGATACGTAGCCACCGGTTTGCTCCCCGAATTCCAACAAATCGATTCCAGACATGCATTCATTGCGAACCATCCTTTGCCCCCTTTCGACAAAGCGGAATGGAAGGAAATGGAAGACTTTTCACAGCAATTGTCAATCTATGCTGAGGCAATGGCCAACGACCCGACGTGTATGATCGAAGAGCTGAACGCGAAGCTTGTTGCACTGGACGATATTGTTTACTGTGACACGTACTGTACTGAGGGTGGCTTGTCCCTTGATGACATTGACTTGTGGGCTCGTTTGAGATCAATAACCATTATTGCAGACGTTGAATGGCCCGACGGTTTGCGTCGGTACATGGACAACCTAGCCGAATTAGCAGATGTTAGCTTGTACGATGAGCTCGCCATGTGAATCATTTGTTGAAAATTGACGAAAGCCCATCATATCGCAACTGATATCACATTCATCTTAAATCAATTTTGATATTGTGTATACATACTCAGGTTCTATTATCAAGCAATTGATTCTGCAGGTTCATAAGCGAGATGAAATGTCAAATCCAAGCGGAATCAAAATAAAGCAACAAACTGTACTACTATTCACCATATCCAGGACGCGCACGAAAAAATATAACTGAAAACGACAGAATCAACGGAACGTCACAAGGTGACTAGAGTGTCGATCTCACTTCTAAAACCTTAGTCCTTCCTGCAAATGCACACGATGCACGCGTTCAATCCGCTTCACTTCGCACAACATCACACCATGCACTCAACTTTAGATAAAAAATCACATCTTGGACACTGATCGATGAATAATAGGGCCTCCTGCTAATACATGAGATACAGCTATGACACTCTTATCACCAGTGTCTTTATTTAGGTTCTAGACATTATTTGCGTCCTCTTTTGGTCATGTGATACCATTTTGTAAGGTGCCGCCTTCTTACTGGCTGACTTACCTACTACTGCTAGAATTTTTTTATCACGAGTTGGATTTGACCATCAGCAAGCATTAGTAGGAAAACATGGGGCCATGAACTGAGGATGAATTTGAAAGTGGATGAAGCAAATGATGCATTATGCTAGCACTAGGAATTTCTAGCCAATACTACTAGTACTACCAGTGTACAAAAATCTCAGGGGAATCAAACACCAGCTTCAGCAGTAAATATTGTTACAGTAGTATTCAACTTTGTAATGTACTACTAGTAGTATCACTGTAACAAAAAGAGAACTACTACTAGTAGCAGGTGTGCAGTTTAGTACTTGAATCTACAACTACTAATAGTAGTAATAAGAACTGATGGAATTATCCATGGAAAATAATGGTAGTACTAGTACTACAATCATTGACCTTTACATCAGAGGGGTTAAAACCAAGAAAAGGTTGTGCATGAAAGTAAAGAACTGACTGACTGTTCAATGAGGGTATTCCTTTGGCTTTTCAACAAAGTGAATATTTCCCAGATGATATTCTTTTTGTTTTCAAAATAGAGAAACAAGAAAGAAAGGAATATCAGAAAGACAAGAACAACAAGTTTCATTTTCCTCATCCTTGTTCTGTTAAATGGAGAGAATATTGCTTGGGCAACAATATGTTGTTTGTTTTTGTTTGTTAAACAAAAACAATTTATCTTCCTTGCCTCTGTATATTGATACTAGTAGGCCCTAAAAAATCTCTGCTCTGTTTAAAACCAAGAGAACATTGTCTGGTGGGTGATATTTTCCTAGATTGACGATACAAAAAGCAAAGAGAAAGGACAAAAATATTATTGCCCACACAAAATTCTTAACATGTCTCTTTGTTTATCTCCTTCTTTCCTGGGGTTCTGGAGAAACTATTTTTTTAATTTTCCTGTACTAGCAACTACTGACCCTTCCTCAAAAACTGAGAGAGGGCCCAGAGTGATGAAACTGTATTCTGGTGTTGAGAACCTCCCATCATATGAGGAGCTTTCAATTACTACTAGTACAAACTGCAATGTCATAGGCAAATAATGGTGCCACGAGCTTCCTCCATTCCATAATATGTGTCTCCATTGCCTGCTCTAACAAGGAAGTCCATTTGTGTCTGCACTGTCTCTTCAAACAGGGGATTTATCAACTTGTCCCCTTTTCTAGTGTCTGCTACACAACTGAGAGGGGATTGGCACTGGTGCTTGCATTGATATTGGGTCCATTGTCTGGTAACTCTTCTTGCAAACTCTCTGAGGGATGACACTTCTGGGGGAGCATGGGGCCCTTCATCAGTTTTTGAGAAAGGCAGCTGTCAACCAAGACCAGGGTTTCCCATAGATTTCCTTGATTTTCAAACAAAGAGAGCATTCCCCCCCAATCAAAGCATTATTTGTTTCTTTTTATAAACATCAAGAACTGAAAGAGAAACAAGAAGAGGAAATACTATATTTTTTCTCTTTACTATCTAAACATAGAGAAACAAAGAGAATATACCCTGCTGGTAGGCGGGAAATATCCTCTTTATTTCTCTGTGCTTGAACAAGTAGCAGAAGAATGCCCCCATCATTTCACTACTATGTAAAAACACAGAGAATAGCAGTGCCTGGTGGATTATAGCTATTCTCTCGTCCGTTGATTTGCTTCAACAAGCTCCTGCTCCCAAAGCTTGGGTCATGGCAACTACCTAATAAGGAACAAACGTAGTGGCAGCAATACCACTCGTAGTACTAGCAGCAAGAAGTACTACTAGGTGAGATTAGAGTACTCCTAATAACATTACTAAAACAAGTTTTTGGTGCTGCTAGATGTACATAACAAGAATGTCACACAAACTATGTGCAAGATTTTGTTGCACCCCTAGTGTGTGTATATATTTTGTACAAGAAGAACCACCACTTAACCACACAGCCAGGGAAATAATTCTCAAGCTTACTCCTACTAGTAGTAGCTACTGACGACCCCGGCAGTTTTGTGATAATTTTTGTGCCACAATGTGCTTCAGGCTGCACACCAAATTTATTCTACTGCATTTAAATCTAGATTCCTTATATCACTGCATAATATTCCTATTGCAGGGGTTATGGTGATAGACAAGAAGAACCTCAAAAATGATGATGACAACAACGACTAATACTACCACCAATTGCAAGAACTCATGGTGGCGTCAACAAACAAGCCAGAGATTCACACATGTAAACACCAATATTTTGAATCTTCAAACTTCAATCCTTTTTGAGGATTTATCTGCAGTTCCTCTTTACTAATTTCAGTGCACAACAGGTGATACAAGAAAAACTTCCCCCGATCCTCCTCAGGGGGGCCCCACCCACCACCACCACCACCAGCATCTTTCCTCGTCCTGCTGCTTGTTGTTATTCTGCTTGTTCTTTTTGCATTGCAGAATCTCTTTGGCTCCAACTTAATCAACTGATCTTTCTTTCTTCTCTTGAAGGAGGAGACCACACATGAAGTTCATTGAACAGCATAGTAGGAGAGCAAATGTCTCTTCCTCAACGCTGTACATATCACTTATCAATATCAATGACTCATATTTGACATATTGACACATATTATGGACTAGAGGAAATAGTACCATCGATTTTGAAATTTCTTGGTGTCCGAGCGCGCGGAGTCCCACTTTGAGCCCTCCCGTGACCTCAAAAAGTAGACCTTCTTGCACTGTTATTCACAGTACTGTGCGTACGTACGTACTGTCAAAGAAGCGATGTGCACTGTGACACTGTCATTGGCTTACCAACACAATCTCTTCGGAATGAGACAGTCTTTAGGGTTTTGGCGGGCGCGTTGTCACCCATTGAAAATTTTAAAGTCCCAAAATTACTATTGGCTCCCGTATTCGCGCGCTTAAAATCTGTTTCCGTTGGGATAAAAACACGCCGAAATTTTCCCCGAATGATGCCAGTCACATACGGGTGGTGTGTTGTAGGTACTATCCCATACGTGAGGAATTAGTACTTTACTTCGGTTTGTTTCCTCTCAACAGAAGAAAAAAACATCAGAGAAAGCCCGCCTTCCTTCATCTCCCCAGGTTGGAGGCATGACAACAGCTACGGTACCGTACTACCGTGCTTTCCCACTGATTATCACGGTGCATTGGGACTTCTGCTCCCTCTCCTTCGAGGCATGCATTCTTAACAAACCTCGCATCGCACACTTTTTCACCGTCCTAACCACGTGCTCGTAGCTCTGCCTTGTTGTTCCTATCCGTCGTTGCCATTGTTTCACGGATTGTCTCGACAAGTTTCATTGCATCCTACGAAACATTACGATTCAATCGTACATCACACGCCAAGCCTCTTGTTTCAAGGATAGAGTTGCTTCCGATTGGAACGAACCGGTACAATGTCGGTCGAACGTGAGCGTCGATACCGCAATGCGGGTTTGATCCACAGGACGATAGTGTTGGTTTCGCTTTCGCTGTATTGGTCGGTGGCGCTGGTTTCTGTCTCCGCCCGGGATTGCCACACCAGCTTTCGACGGGCCTGGCGGGATCTCTCCTGCCAGGAACAAGACGATTTCCTGGACGCCATCATCCAGGTGAAGGACTCGGGGGACTACGACCACTTCATCGATGTTCACCTGAATGTGGCACCGCTCACACACGGGCCCGCCGAATTCATGCCGTGGCATCGGTGCGTTCTGCAATTCGTCGTGTTTATTCGATTCGATTCGGCTTTGGCCTTGGCTTTTGCGGCATCCGGCCTGTCAATCTTCTCACCGTTTTCTTCTCTCGATGGTCCAACCACATTTCATTTCTACCCATTCACCCTTTTGGTTCGAAAAAAATCTTGGGCATTACGGATTGTGCTGTGCATTTGATTTTTACGAATGCTGTCGACTACTGCAGGTGGTTCATTTGGAATTTCGAAAAGCTGCTGCAGCAAACAACTGGGAAATGCATTTACATTCCCTACTGGGACTGGGAACGCGACTCGCAATGGGAACGAGAGTCGGACGTCTTGCACCCGGCCACCTTTGGATCCTGGGGCGCCACCAACGGAGCCGGCTGCACCATGAACGGGATTACGGAGTACCACGCCCCATTTCGCTGGTCGCCGGGGGTAAACAACGGACCCGCGGGCTGCGTCACGCGCGACTTTCTGGACGGCTTTTCGTTCTCCGGGGAGGCGCAGGTCCTGGCGATGATTGCCAACTACAACCAGTTCTCGGACACGACCGGGAACGCTAGGGGGAACACCCAGGACAACCCGGTACCCACCGGGACCACCAATGGTTTCCGGTTCGAGTTCGAGAACGGCGGCCACATGCTGGTCCACGGTGTCATTGCCGGACACATGGGATCAAACTGGAGCCCCGCCGATCCCCTCTTTTACCTGCACCACGCCAACGTCGATCGTATCTGGACCATGTGGCAGGATTACCACGATCACGACACCTGCTCGGTCGACGAGTACCTTTCTCCGTGGCACTTTGACTCGGAGTGGGCACTGGATCGGGCCCTACCCTTTCAGCATGCAGAGCGAGTGTCAAACTGGGACTTTCGCATGACCTATCCGGACGGCAGCCAGGCATATCCAACGGTGAGGGACATTATGAACAACGACGGAGAGACGCTCTCGGTAAGGTACCAAAACTCATACCTGAACTCGCTTATGCCGGACTACGTAGCGAACCCAAGGTTGTTTCAGGTTGCTACGGATGGAGTTCCGGTAAAGTGCGACCGGGACGAGTGGGAGTGGGCGCGCAAAAAGCGAAAGCTGGAACAGGAACGCAAACCAGAGGACGAGCACGAGCACCAGGACCTGAGGAAGAATTCCTTGGTGGGAGCTTCCGCCAACAGCACAAGCACTTTGTTGTTCAGCAATCACCAGCACGTGTTTGTTCCCAATGCGTTCCGCAGCTCGATCCGGGGAAAGGACGCCCAGGAGATCGAGGACCACCCCGAGCTCTACTTTCGCAAGCCCGGCGACGGCCGCGTCAAGAACGACCTCGAAGGCAACGGCATCAACACCCGATACCGGAGTTCGGACGTCGTGGGCGTTACCAGCGAGGAGTGCGGCAAGCCTCCCGTCTTTTCGCTCCAGGAGGACCGCGACGAGTGGGACCGGCTCTGCCGGGTGCTCCCGAAGGACACGCCCATTGTCGAGCGGCTGGCGCTCCTGGCTAAGTCCAACTGCGGACGTAGGGGCAACCCACGAAGCGACGCCCCCGAGATCCGGGAACGCCTCACGATGACGATCATGGGGGCCTTTGACGCGCCATCATCGGCCTACGAGTGTTTCCACCGGCCGGGAGATCCCGCGGACGAAGTTCCTTGAGGACGGATGCTATCGTGTGCTAGCAATGCGGGCACTCCGTTGTCTGGTGGGTGGGTGGATGCGCCAAGCCGTGGCAATATGATTCTGCGAAAAGACCTCGGGAGATTAGATAACAATATCTCTTTCTCTTGCTTTCGTTGGACAACTTGCTGCGGTTCGGTCGGAACACCATCGACTGAACGAACGACGCAACATCTCGCGTGCTTTTCTTCGACACAGGATTTCGAGTTCGCTACGGATTCCAAGTATTTCAAAGTACTTTTGTACACCCCTGCACTTTCTGTTGTTCAATAATAAGCTGTATTCTCTAGCCGTAAAGTAACAGTTCAATTATTTAGTCACCGCTTCATAGCTTGATACGAGTATTACTAGTGAAATTACTGCCACTAGTAGTAGTAGACGACACTCCAAACAACATACCGCACTTTACTAGAGGTCCCATGTCGTATTAGGTAAGTATGGCTACCCGTACGTACTGTACCGGAACGTTGTAGCACTTCTTACGAAGGACTAACCAGGGGTTTGACCCCTGGGACTAAACCCGCATTCTACACCAATACCCTAACATCGAATCATATCATATGCTTCGTATGTACGATACCAGGTATGACTTAGAGCAAATGAAGTAGCATTAACCCTAACTTCACGACGTGAGATTTCGACGAACTTCCAAAGAGCCTCTTCATTGGTTATGACTGTCCGTCTGACTCCTTTCCTCACTCAGTCGACACCTCCTCCCTGAACCCAAGATCTTTTGCCTCTTCGCCTATTTTTTGTTTGGATCGTGGGGTAGTACCATCTTTGCGTACAAACCTACGGTGGACGGTATGCTGCTACCTTTATCTATTCACTAGTATCAAGTTTAGCGTTCGCATCCATCGAGAATAATTCGATAGAGCAGTCTTAAGTCGCAAAACAACTCTTTGCATACAAATAACACAGTACTAGTTTGTTATTCCCAGCTTCCCCAAGATGTTTGTCAACTATGCCCGAATCGGTAGCGTAAGTTTTCATTGCCCCGTACAATCGAAAACGCGGTGCACAAAGAAAGATATTGGTGCGAAGACGAAGGAATCCCTGACACGGGAGGAGGGTTTGGGAACAGTGACCAAATGATGCAGAGGGGAAGAGGTGCCCCGGGTGAAGAAGTCTTGGCGTCTTGTAAGATGAAAGGGGGAAATTGAGATCATAGAGTCATAAGCACTTGCTCCCGTGTCTATAATCGGTTGATGCGTCTGGCAGTCAATCGTGAGCGTCAAGATAAATCCGTCGATTCCACTGGTTGTTGCTCGATTTTGTTTCCCTTCACGTTTTTCTCACACTTTCTATCCGTTGCGTTTGTTTCCTTTCTTCGCACTTTTCTTCAATCCACAGCGCTTGGCTGCCCCAGCTGCCTTCACTGCATCGGTAACCTTATATTCTCTCCAGGATGCTCACGCAAAAGAGGCGGCTGTTGATATGGACAAGCTTCGCGCAGCCATCATGAAGGTCGTCGACGACGACGCCGAGAAGCGAGGCGATGGTACCTCGTTGTAAGTCAGCCACAACGATCGATGGAGGAGGTATTGAGCGCTAGTATAAGCATTCGATTGTTTCCGTTGGACTCATATCTTTGTGTCGTTTCATTGCATGACATTCTGTTTCGTTGCGTTGCTTTTTCTTCAGGGCCGGAACATACATTCGGTTGGCGTGGCACTGCTGCGGAACCTACAAGGAATCCGACAACAGCGGTGGATCGAACGGGGCCCGCATGCGATTCGCGCCCGAGTCCAAGTACGGAAACAATGCCGGTTTGGACCGAGCTCGAGCTTCTCTGGAACCCATCAAGGCCCAGTTCCCTGGCATTTCGTACGCTGACTTGTACACCTACGCCGGTGTCGGTACGTCTGGACAAACCAGTTTCGCACGGCAAATCACTGGAATGAACAAGCGAAAGAACGAGCGATCTGTTCACTTAACTTTTTCTCTCTCTCTCTCTTCTTTGCACCGCAGTTGCCGTCGAAGAATCCGGTGGTCCCAAGATCCCTTACAGTACCGGTCGTGTCGACTTTGAAGACGGCTCGACCTCCGACGAGAACGATCGCTTGCCCAACGCCGACTACGGTGGTCGGGACAAGAACGTCGAGTCCATCAGGAAAGTCTTTTACCGCATGGGATTCACCGACGGAGAGATCGTCGCCTTGATGGGTGCGCACGCTATGGGACGTTGCCATACCCAGGACAGCGGCTTCTGGGGTCCGTGGACGTTTGCGGAAACCACTTTTTCGAACGAGTATTTCCGTCTCTTGGTTGAGGAACGGTGAGAAAAAATGAGCGACTTGTCGATTGATCGATTGATTTGCCTCTTTGTTCCTTCCTACTGATAGTGTTAGTGTTTAGGGCAAGACGCTCTGCATGTTTTCTCATTTCTTTGCATTCTTTTCTAATGCAATTTTTTTCGTTCAGCTGGTCTCCCAAAACGATGCACGAAGGAAAGCCCTGGACGGGTCCCGATCAATTCGAAGATTCTACCGGCAAACTGATGATGCTCCCCGTTGACTTGATGCTGATCATGGAACCGGCCTTCAAGAAATACGTCGAAGTTTACGCCAAGGACGAAGACAAATTCTTCACGGTAAGTATTGTATTACGCATGTTTGTGTTTTGAGTTGTGTTGTCATAGCTGCAGAACGCTTTGTAACAATTGCGGGAAATTGATTGGATCTTTCAGGGGTATCCTCTATCCATTACAAACAATTGTATTATGACCATAATGCTGTTGCAAACACGTGTACTTATGATAATGATGCTATTGCAAACTCACCGGTTTCTGTTTCACAGGATTTCGCTTCTGCTTTTGGAAAGCTTTTGGCATTGGGTGTGCCCGAGGCTGCCATTCCTATTGGCGGCAAGCCATGGTACCAATTTTGGTAGAGCCTTACAATCCAATCAGTGCACAGTAACCAGGCAAATTCGATCGGAAAAAATCGTATCGAATCGAATCGAGCATAACAATACAACTTAGATAGACCTAATGGTGTCCCCATGCACAGTATTGTTGATTATTCATGTACACCACGCTGTCGCACAATAACTCAGTTTTAGTTTTCACAATGCTCGTCTTTGTGACTGATTTAGTTTCAGCAACGTCTAAAATGCCTATCACCTATTCAACGGCTTCGGAGCTAATGTTTGCAACAGGTGCTAGCATTGATTACTGTTGAAGTATTTAAAATCTTTGTATCAGCTTCAAAAAATTTTGGTAGTAATAGTTGAAGTGCCGTTCTAGAGGTAGTTTTTAGTTTTTCTTCTCTTGACTATGAACATGCTGCACGATTGGAAAAAGATATCTTCGATCAACGACAGCCACCGACCCATCTCCTTCTTTGGTACTAGTACTTATTTCTACGTCAATCTGTACTTCCTTTTCTGATCGCTTAGCGATCACGTTCTACCGATATGATTACATTTTTTATTTCTGATCGATCGCAATCAATCATCACTGTTCACAAAATACCTCTAGTTCAGAAACACCAGATACGATTCTACGGCACACAACTCTTTCCAACACGCAGATTACCAGCCTAGTGACACGACTAAGGCATGACTCAGGACGGAAAGAAAAGGAGGCGATCTGTTGACGCTAACAAGTTGGATGCCGATAAGCAGGCCCAAAACAGAAACAGCGCAAAGAAAAAAGCCAAGAAAGAAAAGAAGAGCAAAAAGAACAAGAAAGACGAACACCACAACGATTCGAGTGGTGGAATCAACAATGGTAATGATGAGGTCAATTGTAAACAATCTTCATCTCTAATGGATTCAATATTCGGTGCCGGGAGTAACACTGGAAGTGGGTCTGTAAATGCAGCGACGAAGACGAAATCGTCGTCGTTGATGGATTCTATTTTCAATAGCGACAACAGCACCTTTGTGGCAAACAAAACCTCCTCATCCACAGCTGCACTTTTCGATAGCACGGCAACAGAAACTGCGCCAACCAAAATATACCACCAACCCTTCCCCCAACAACTGCCGGAACGAAAAACGACCCCAAAGACGGACAACAATGCCAACAACGAATGCGACGACGATGCAGACCTTATTCGCAAGACGCTACACAACCGGAAAATCCGCTCGGAGCACCGCCCATTGATGAGAAAAGCCCTGGACTTTCCCGGCGTATTTCACAACGAGGAGGCCGACGAAGGGAACGGATTTTTCCTCCTGGACGACGAGAATGAGAGGGCAAAGGAAACGGCCGATGCCGTTCGCGACCACGGGCTGTGCATCATACGGAAGGCCATCGATCCAACCGACAGCTCCACCGACGGCGGCAGTCACCCACTCCGCGACGTAGTCTTGCCGGCAGCAAAAGCTCTCCAGAGAAAGCTCAACAAGGCCCTAAAAGCCCGCAACATTCACCATTCCTCTGAAACCTTCCGGTTTCGCGAGGCCGCCTCCAGGTGCAGGGGTCGAACAGACGTGGTATTTGATGAGTTCGAGAAAGATGAATCCATGATCGACATCAGCCGACAGATCTTGCGCAACAAGAAAGTGTACCCAGTCATCAAGAATCTACTGGGAGCAGCGAGTGGCAACGACGGTGACTCCGACGAAGACGTCAAGCTTGTTTACGCGGGGCTGATTTTCAGTTATCCCAACTCTTGCGATCAACCTTGGCACCAGGATGGGACTCCATTATTTCCGGAGTTGCCCCGGAACCAGTCTTCGCTGCTACAGGCGAGTCTGCCCCCCTACGCTTTGAATGTGTTTTTGCCTCTGGAAGATGAAGACGGGTCGATCGAAAAAGGCCCTACGGAATTTTTACCCAATTCTCACAAGTGGGAATCGCCCGATGAAAGATTGCGAATGGCCAATCTATCAAGTGGTGATGCCGTGGAGGAGAATGTAGGCAATGGCGATGACGATGACGATGAAGGCTCAGATAGGAGTGATGAGGACGACGAGGGAAACAGCGATGACGAAGCTATCATTGCACCGGTCTTGAAATGCGGGGATGCTCTCATATACGATTACCGCGTGTGCCACCGGGGGACCGCAAACCTTTTCGGGAAATTTCGAAGCATGATTGGTTCTGAAGCTACTTCGAAGAAGAAGAAGAAAAAGAAAAAGAAGAGAGAGCAAAACGATGAGGACGATGTTACCGGAACCCGCCGCATTCTCTATCTTATGTACGCTCGACCATGGTTTACAGATCACGTCAACTTTGATTACACAAAGAGTGCTGAATCTCTGTTTGATTACAACAAGGTTATGAGTTAGCACGATACAGCGAAGGCTGTCAAAGTCGAAGAAATCATGTACATCACATGAGATACCCACCAGTAGCAAACAAATAAGTGAATCGTACAGGGACTTTTTCGTTAAAATCCTGTATCCTTTATATTCTTAGTTTGTTGGCATGATTTCATGGTTGGCTTCATTTGTCATCTTAAAAAATCCATGGGATTTCTGAGTTAACCCGAGGTAGGGCTGTATATCGACAGCACAGAATTGATCAGGGAAATATCTTCCTTCGCTAGAGGTCTGGTGTGAAGCTTCCCACTTAGTCTAGTCCTGAGATAATTCATTACTGATTTCAGCCTGCTCTTGCTATCCTTGTCAAAATAGGAAGTTTTCAACGCGTCTACACTTCCAGGTGCCTTCAATAAGATCATAAGCGATCTAACAAAAGGAATCGAAAACGGTGGGCTTGCGATTTCGAGCAATCCACTTACAAAGTAACGGATCAACGACGCATCCAAACCAGACCGTCCGGGGTCTTTCAGCAAGGGCATTAGTTGACTGAAGACAACAGGAGCTTCTCCTCTCGTGCACAAGAATAGGAGAAGTCTTAGACTCTGCTCCTTTAAAGTATTCATTGTGTGGTACACAACTTCGGAATTGGAATGTTTTAAAAATTGAAAGGCCACTTCAACAACATCGTCTCGCGTGAAGGGATGGTGCATGTATACAATTCTGGCTAGAGTCATGATGCTGGGGGAAATCGATACATAAGAAGCGGAGCTTACAAATTCTCCTCCTCGCGTAATTTCCCGTGCCCACATTGCAACACCCTGAGCCACAGGTGCACATTTCACAGCCAAATTACAGATTTGTTCACCGGGGCTCTCTACAGCTCCATTGCCTTTGATTGCATCGGTTGTTACGATAAATGAAACCATATTTTCGAGCTGCTCGCAAAGTTTGCTTCCTTCAAACAACATCTGTGTGAGGGCTTCCTCGTCACTCTCTGGCTCCAGAACATTTGGATCAATTTTTTTGGCTTCCTCAAAAGACTGTTTCTCTGCTACTAGAACAGCAATAGCTGTTAGCCGTCCACACTTTTGTCGGAGGGAAATAGAACCTACCCGTTGTCCCGGTTTATATAGATATCCCAATAGAGCTTCAATGGCGATCGGGTAACTAACTAAAAGATTCCCAATGAAATTAGTCTCCTGACTAACCGATTCATTTGGTAACATTCTGTCCAGGAGGGGTTCGTCTAATTGAGTGCCAACGCAATACTTTCTCAAAAACGTCAATAACGCCGATTCAATCTGATTCCGACGATCGTCATTGATACCATCAATAATATTTGGAGTTTCAGTAAAAGTGGAATCAATATTGCCCCTGTCCTTCTTGTCCGGGTGTATGCGCCTTCGCTGCCTCTGATGAAGATCACTTATCGTACATGACACATCTAGACGGCGTTTTCGAACAAGAGGATTGGACCCTGTTGATTTGGATGGATCTATCATGTCACCCTGCAAAACCTCAAGTAACCTTTCCCATTTTCGAATGACTCGCTGGTATAGCAATCTATCTCTTTCTTCCATAGCTAAAGAATCATTTTTCGCCTTTTGGATCTGAAATCGTAGTACTTCAAAACCATATAAGTCTACAAGAAAATATAACGTGAGCATTGGACAAAAAATCGATATTCTTTCAAACCTGTCTTCCCAACAACACGGTTTTCTCATACTTACAGGTATACGACGTAGAGGTACAAATTCGACGAAGGTCACCGACCAACTCGTTGAGGCTGATCGATGTATCGTGATCATGACATGATGAAACAGATATTTTACCAATCACTGCTAGTTCCGATGCCAACATTGCATTGAAGACGGGAAAATGCTCAGACTGGTTGATCCTTCTGGCAATTTCTCGATGGTGTCCCCGTTTCGAAATAGATTGTAAACAGTACATCAGCAATGCACTGTCTTTGTTCGATGCAGATAAATCAATCAAGAGCTTTCTCCATCGATTTGAGTCCATCATATCCTCCAGAAACGCGGCCTCTGATTTGGAAAGAGCTAAAATATTGTTACCGCCCTTGTGTGTAAAGCGTTCCTTGACAATGCTATTAACAACTTCTTGTGTCATCTCTCGGATACCATCTGCAGATTTCTGAAAGCGTTTGGCATGAGCGGCGTCATCTGTGGTACTGGATGAAGCAGACGTCTGCGACTTGAGATCTGTTAGCCATCGACTCAAAAGGCCACACACAGCAGTTTGCCCGTGAGCACTATCACTCAATGCTTGAATGGCATTCTTTGGATTTCCCATATCGCTCTTCACGACCTCAGTGAGGTCCGTCAATATACCTTTTGGTAATTGTGCGCATTAATAAGTGAACGTGAGCGGCAAGCAGCAGATGATAACATATTCCATTTTCTGATTTCTGATCGAGTTGTACATACCGGTTTCCATGATAGCATCGACTTGAGCTAATGCTTGCTTTGCTTCCTCGAGTCGTTTCACCGCAGGATCTACTTCTTCTTCTTCTGGCTCTTCCTCCATCGGAACTGGAGATGTACCATCGGGACTTTGGGGTCTTACGGGAGAAAGCTTCATCCCACCGTCCGCTTCATCTCCGTCAACACTGTCTCCTGTTGTCCTATACTTTTTTACTAACTCATCAAAGTCAGAAGGTTTGTCCCAAACAGTTTGCTGTGTCTCCGAATTATAATAGTAATATCGCCCACTGTCATCTTTGTATCGTGTCCAGTTACCAGCTGTAACAGGAATTCCGTCGTCCTCGTCCATACCGGGACTTTTTGGACGAACTGGTGACATGCCTGTATCTCCTCTGTCGTCATTGTCGAGTTGAGCCGGTTTATCCCATGTTGTTTCATTTGTTTCCTCATTGAAATAATAGTTTCGTCCCTCGTCGTCTTGGAGTGTGGTCCAAACCCCACCAGCTTTAGCTTTAGTGATGCCAGATGCCTTTTCTTCTTTCTCAACGACTGCATCGTCTTTCGTGGCGAACGTAGCGGGGCGATCCCAGCTTGTTTCTTCTGTTTTTTCGTTGTAATAATAGCTCCTCCCTTCGTCATCTTTGAGTTCTACCCAGTCTTGCTTGTTTGCACTTTCTCTAGCAGTAGTAGTTTCATTTTCCTCCTTAGCAACCGCATCTTTCTTATCTACTTCCCCTGTTTCTTTGTCATTTTCATTCTCAGGATTGAAGCCAACAGGGCGATCCCAGCTTGTTTCTTCTGTTTTTTCATTATAATAATAACTTGTCCCTTCTTCATCTTTGAGTTCTCTCCAATCTTGATTGTTTGCACTTTCTTTAGCAGTATGGGTTTCTTTTTCCTCCTTTACATCCGCGTCTTTCTTATCTGCTTCCCCTGTATCTTTGTCATTTTCATTCTCAGGATTGAAGCCAGCTGGCCGCTCCCACAATGTTTCTTCGGTCTTCTCGTTGTAATAATACGTTCGACCTTCTCCGTCCTTTGTTGCCACCCAATCGCTAGCGTGAGCTTTGCTTTTGGCAGAAATATCGGTTTCTTCCTTCTTTTCTGCCACCTCGCCTTCCTTCTCGTGTTCTCCTCGTGCTTGGTCATTTCCGTTTTTGGCATTGACTCGAAATTCAGCTGGTCGATCCCACGATGTTTCTTCTGTCTTATCATTGTAGTAGTAAGTTCGTCCCTCATCATCTTGGACTTCGCTCCAGTCCTCTGCAGTTTTGTTCTCTTCATCTGTACCATCCTCCTCGTTTCCGGGAACGTTCCGCATCGGTGACGTCCCATTTGCATTGGTTTTGTCGCTGCATTTCTTCGAATCTGTTTCTTTAAAATTCTCAGGTCGATCCCATGACGTTTCGTCTGTCTTTTCGTTGTAATAATAAGTTCGTCCCTCCTCGTCTTGAGTTGCAACCCAGTCCCCTTTCGTGGTTTTCTTTTCATCTTCGTCACTTTTTGAAAGCGCGGGACTCTGAGAATACCCTGGCGATATCAAATTTTGGTTGCCATCAACATCTTTTTCTCCTTTTGGTTCCTTGAATCCTGCTGGTCGATCCCATGATGTTTCTTCAGTCTTTTCGTTGTAATAGTAAGTTCGCCCCTCGTCGTCTTGAAATTCAGCCCAATCTCCTGTCGCTGGCACCGATGCTTTATTTTCCTCGGCAGGAACTGCTTCCTCTGCTTCAATTTTCAGTTCCGGCTTTTCTTGATTCTTTTCTTCGCCACTGCTGAACCCCGGAGGTCGTTCCAATACCGTCTCTTGCGTCACGGTATTAAAATAATAAGGCTCGCCTTTCTCATCGTCCATGTATTCGACCCAGTCCCTCGCCGTTGCTGTTGTTTTTTCCTCTTCCTCTTTGTTCTTATCCTCTTTATCTTCTCCTTCCTTGGTTTCAACCGGATTGAAAGGCGCATTATCTGGAGGGGGATCCCAAGAGGTTTCGTCTGTTTTGCTGTTGTGATAAAATATTTCGCCGTTGTCGTCCCGAAAGGCGGACCAATCGTGGACGATATCACCCCTCCCATCATCTGTCATGCCATGCAACACTTTGCGTTCTACCAGAATGCCAGTATACAATATACAGTATCGGGATCTTTATCAGAGGAGTGATCAATTTCTCTTGGATCTTCGGCGAGGGTTTGAGATCAGCACTGCATTCCAGTCTTGACGATCCGGCGTCAAAAAAAAGTGATAAAATCCTATCATAGGTCGTCGTCGTCGTTGAGTGGAGATGACCTCTAAATGAAGGCTTCTACCATGAATTTCAGCAAAATTTCAATATCCCCAACCCTATCTTGATTTTCAAAAAACCGATCACTACACAAAAAACGTCAAACGTGCGCGATCTCGCGAATTCTATCAAACACATTAAACATTTCGTGGACTCCAGATCAGTTCACGAGTTTCATAGTCCCAGTCGACAAACCGCTTTGGATGGCAATCCTAACATAACTTCTGACTACGTACAATACAATCATAACACACCGATTCCTTTTCAGGAAGGCAGGACCAAAAAATAATCAAATCGATTAACAAGAGCAACCAACTACAATGAGATTTACTTCTGTTCTTTTCCAAGCGGCGAAGAAAGGAACCAGAAGCTCGACGAGCGGCCGAAACATAAAGTCCCTCGCCCTGAGCGTCTATTTTAAGCAACCCGACTTGGGAATGAAAGATTACGAGATCCTCAGTCGCGCGTCCGCGTTCTTGTTGGCGGTAGACCCTGATCCATCGAGTGGTAAAACCAGTGGTCCATACGATCATCTAGAGAAGAACGAACGAGATCGAATCCTCAAGATGCACAAACAAGGATCGAAGTACACACCTGCAGGCCATCCAGGAGACCAACGGTCTTTGCAAGAACTTGGCTGGCTCGAATATGCTCCAAGAGAAGTGAGACCTACAGTACATTGCGTTTGCTCGAGTCATGTGCTGTCGCCTTATTTGTGGAAAGATTATTATCCGCAAGACTGGTTGAACAAAGTCCGACAGGAACATTGGTGAGTGAACAAAGAAAACTCGTTGTTTGGTCTGATTTCTGTTTTTGGGTTTTTAAAGGAGACAGTCTGGATACATATCATTGTTTTCTTTACCTGTAGCCTAATATTCGATTTTGATTACAGCGCATACTCGTTGGAGGTGTTTGATAACGATCCCGAAACAATGGAAACGGTGTCGTTGGGAAAGTTTGCACTGAATCCATATCCCATCCACCATCCCGAAGGAAAGGACGTCGCACTCATTCATTTGAAACAAGAAGAGGAAGCGTTAAAAATTCTGACAGAAGATTTGGGAGTAAAAATATTGAGATTGAGAGATCTAGACGAGATATACGATAAGGGTGATGAGGTAACATTTGATGGCTACGTGGTTGCCGAAGCTAACCAAGCCGACAGTCAAACATTCAGCGGAGGAAACGATAGTGATGATGCTAGTAAAAGTAGCAACGATGAAGAAGAAGACGATCGAGTGTTCTTCCCATACAGCGAAATTGGACAACTGTCCTTCCACACCCGCGATCGATTTTTCGCGACAACACCAGAACCTCTTCCAGAGGGTCTTTGCGGAGGACCAGTTCTCGATTCCAATGACATGGTATGTGGGATTGTCGAGGGAATAGTGTCAAAAGATCACAAAAACAAAGATATTGCTGGAAGTGCAGCGCTCATGCCCAACTACGTCATGGCACCATTCATAGACTTTGCCGAGCGATTGATGCTGCAAAAGATTCTTCCGAAGAACTTGTTCCAGAAGGCGGTCACAGCAAAAACTACGGGTCAATTAGGAGGTGGAATTTTCCAAAAGGACGCAGAAGGCAATGTGCAACCAAGTGGCAACAGCCTTTCGTACGAGGAAGCATTTGATCGCGCCGTGGATCAGCTGAAACAGAACCATTCGGAGGAAGAAGTAAACGCAATTTTGAACACAATCCAACGAGAACGGAAAGAAGTATTGGAAATTATGGACAAGGAAGGAGGTGAGCTAGATGACGTTGTCGAACGCGTTAGGCAACGGACTTTGCAAGTTCGAGAAATGATTCATGAAGAATATCGGAAGGAGCATGCGAACGATGCCGATCCTTCTGTAGTAGAGGCAGAGATTGTAGAGCGGTAGTAGATATTTGTTCTGCATTAGATTTGACTAACAAATGCAGTACATCACGAGCAGTAATATTCAAGTTATGGTACTTTTATTTTGGTTGTCCTTATATCAGGCAGCATATCGTCCAAGAAAGGCTTTACATTATTATTTTTGGAAACTGCGTATTCCATTGCACAAGATTGAATACATTCATTGTGAATAATATCAGTTATAATATTTCAAAGTGTATCTCATGCCTTACACTTTACTCTACTCACGTTTCTGATATGCTATTTTTCGTGTATGTCAGTATCTTCCTTAGCAAAGTTGAATATTGTAGGGAACTATTTAAATTTAAAACTATGCATCGGATAAAATAGTGACAGCATCTTTTATTTTCGAATCATCAACAAACTTTATCGGCTCTCCAAATCCAATACGCTCCAGAATCTTTCCAACTTCTAAGCAGTAGTCTTGGTGTCCCATGATGAGATCAGAACAATCGATATTCTCAACTCCGACCTGTTCTACAGGACAAGTCCCGCATACAGGTTTGAGAATTGAAAACATACCATTATTAAAAGATCCTCCCGAGAAACGTTTTGCTTGAAACATAAGGGAGAGGATAAGGTCGTTGTTTGAGTAGCAATTCACCAATCTTCCAGCAACGATTTGTCTACAAGCTTTCCAAGATGAGAGACTTAAATGATTCGGAAGACCCAATAAAATCGCATCCTCCACGATACTTGCAGGTTCGCGCATTCCTTTCATTTTCTGCTTAAATCTCGTAAGTCGACGATGCTMGTGATGATTCTGTCCATTGGTAGCAGCATTGCTCTCCTCAAGAAGTTCCTGATAATGTTCCCATTCTTCCTGGTAGCGAGCCAATTCTTTCAGACACGAATAAATTATTCTGGCGCCAAATGAATACCCGACCAATGTTACAGGCCTTCGTCCGGCCCTACTGTAAAGAAGCGTTTTAGCCAACACAACTCCAGCTTCGTCCGCTCTTTCTACCGCAATCGTCCAGTCTCCATCAATCATGTGTGCAAGATTCAAAAGATAGGTAGGCCAAATAACCGCTGACAGGAGTGTATGTAAAACGGTTTGCTTCAAAATCTGTCTCGTAGCTCCACTAACGACGTCTACTGCCAAATCCATCACGCAATCACAAATTTGAGTCAAAAGTGCACTTTCCCATTTTACCGTATACATTTCTCCTCCATAAGTCGTTTTCCAGTCCCAGACAGTAGATAAATGCCTTGGGGGTTCGTACGGGATTTCTTCTTCAACTTTCCTCTTTTCGAGTTCAGCAGACGAGTCCGAGTCGTACTTGTGCAATATGCTATCCCCAGACATGGATGGGTTATTCTGGATAGCTAATATCCGTTGGCTCGATGATGGGCCATGAATTGAATCAGAGTTTTCATCCTTTTCATTCATATTTGATCCAGATCTTCTATTGAAACTACGCTTTTTCCATCCATTCCTCATTTTTTCGAAAGGAGACATCTGGTGTTCATGTTCATTCTGAGCTGCTTTTTCTTGTTCGGGTGCGACACTATGGTATCCAAGCTCAACAAAAAGTTTGTCTAGAATTTCTTCTTGGTCGAGTGTCAGTGCCCCCTGCCGTTTGACAACATCGCCGTTACTATCGTGAACGCAATCGAGAGGGAAAATGTTGTCGGGATCACTGCCATACTTCTCCCTTAAAACTCTCCATAATTCGACTTCTTCACCCTTCCAACTATTTAAAATGCGCTCACATTTTGGAAGGTGATCTGGACTGTGGATTGAATAAAAGCGTTCCAGTTTCTCTAGACGATCCGGGATTCTTGGGTGCGTTGGTTGAAGTCCCCAAGGACGCTGGTAATCGCATGGGTCGGTCAGCCAACCAGAAATGCAAAGAATCGAGAACAGTTCCGCCTCTAATTTTTCCTCATTGCCGTCGCCGTTCTCGGGGTTACGGGGGCCGCGGCGGTCGGGTCTACCCTTCGTTTCTCGGCAGAATTCAAACTCTGTGACACCCTGGGTTCGTCGCTGCATCTTATACGCTGCCAATCCACCCCCTCCGACCCCGAAAATTGTCGTGACCACTGCAGCACTCGTCAAAGCCGAAACGGCGGCAGTTCCTGCCGCGGCACCCGCAAAGGCAGCTACCCCAGCGGCAATCCCCGGTGCCGCTAGCCCCCCAGTAACTGCGAACAGTGTTCCGGCAAGAATTCCAGCTCCGCCAATCTTTACGCCACGAACCAATTGTTCCTTCGTGAATCCAACATTGGCACTTTGGTCCGTTTTCCGCTTTGAACCATCGTACTTTTTCGACGCGGAATTCCGTTTTGTACCTGGCGATGACAACAAAATCAACCTTCGAGCGATGTTTTGTTCCAGCGCTTCGAAAGTACGCGTTGCTTGTAGAAGCTTCCTTCGTTCGTAGTCTCTCAAATCTTTCCTCTGTGTCTGCACATTTTCTGCACCCGATGGCCGTGCGTCCCGATCCTTGTTTCGAGCTCGGGATGACAATATATGCTCGAATGGATCTTCGTTTGCATCGCGTTGCAATACTAGAATGCTTAATTTTTTCACGGCATGTCGAATTCTAGCGTCGTAACCGTTTTCGTTCGTCAACAGGTGTTGGAGCAACAGCAGCGAAACGCAACGAAACCCGGCACCGGGTGTCAACGAATCCAAAAACGGTGACAATTCATCGGGATTGTCCAACAAGTGTATCTCTGGTGGCGGGCGGGTCGACGGATCGGTATCTCCTTCGTTTTTGTGTTGGGGTTTTTGCTCTTGTTTCTTGTATGTCTTATTACAACTCGTGCTTGTGTCATCGTTTGTCACTTGGGTGTGTGTTTTATGGATTTGGGGAACCAGAACCCTAGATAACATTGGAAGGAATGCCCTCGCGATCGATTTATCTAATAGTAGAAGCTCTGAAGATGACAAAAGCAATCCACTATACAATTCGTATCGGCGGCTGAGGTATCGCTGCCTCGACAGATTTGCTTTCGGATCGCTGGTAGTATCAGAGGGCTTCATTTTTTGAGCATTTGCCGCTTGCTGACGAAAGGTTGGCTTTGTCTTCGGCAGAGGCGGTATCGCTCTGTTGTTCGTGGCTGATGATGCCGGGGTTGTCCCCGTCGTGGATGTCACCGTGGAAGACCCCATGCTCTCAAAGCTTTGGCACCTGTGGCTGTAAAAATTGTCCGTCGTATCGTTCGTTGGTGCCGACGACAACACGGGAATATTTTTGTTCACGGAACTACCTGGTTTGTTGATTTTATCTCTGTTTGGGTTGTTGGTTCTGCTTCTGTCTGTCGCGTTCTGTTTCGATGACTCGTAACCCTCGATCGAGTAGTCACCGTCGTCGTCGTCGGATTCATAGAAGTCAAAAAAGCCCGAAACGTCGTTATCGTTGTCCGTGTCTCCGTCGCCGCCATTGTCTCTATTGGTTTTTCTCTTCTCCTTAGACAACAATTCGTAGCTCTCATAATCGTACATGGACGACAAGACGGCAGCCAAACACCCCACGAAGCGCTTTCGGTCTTGCTCATCGGGAATGGCGGGCATTGACGGGGTTTCCAAGCTTCGCATGTTGGGCAGCGATGGCGGATGACTGTTCTCGTCATTTGGTTCGTCGTCGTCCGAAGCATCGCCAGAGGAAAAAATAGTACTCCCCGTAGGCGTGACTTCGTCCAGCAGGGCCGATTTTGCGGCACGCTTAATCAGCGAATGCGTGTCGGAACGTGTGGGAGATCGGTACCCGCTGTTGCTGTTTTCCTCGTATTCGCTTTCGTGGAAGGTAAACCTGCTAATGCTAGAGGACGCGGCGGATTCACCAGCCGAAGAAGAAGATCGTCGAATGTGTCCTCCCTCCCGGCGGCGCCCTCTTCCGGCCTTGTCGCGTGGATTGCTTTGTCTGTTGTCGTTGTTTGTGTTGTTCGTCGTGGTTTGTTTTTGCGCCTGACCTGGTTGCGACGAAGAGAGTCGGGACAAACGCAACGGATAGTCGCTCTCTACACACCCACTTTGTTCCATGTTTGTTTGTCCTCCGATGGGTCAAACTCTCCACCACACGAAGGACCCTACCGCAGACAGAAGAAAACGCAATTAAAACAAGCAAATCTTTTCGCCTTAAATAAATCGTGGAGCTGGAGCAGTCTTTTCTTTAACCAGGGAAGGTTTGTCGAGTAAAATCCTCGTTATATGTCGTTATCAAGGATTCGAATTAGTTCGGTTCGATATGGATAGGTGCGACGGCAGTGTTGTTGTTTGGTTTTAGCTAGCATGAGAGTGCCGTCCAAGTGGTCCAAACGAGAAGGATGTTCATTTTCATCATGTGCTCGTACCGTAGTAGAAGTACGGTAGTTAGAGAGTTTAACGAAAAAAGCACGAGTAGGACATAATTGAGAGTGAAAACGTATGTTTCGGTACATTTCGTAAGCGATTTCGAGACAGCACGACTCACTCGGCACGCCTGGCCGATGACGGTAAAAAAACGAAACCAAGCCTCGATTTCACACGACTGAATGAAATGAATCATGGATAAGCCGGTTCGTTCCGATTGAAGTGATTGATGATTCATTCGATTCGAGCTGCGCAATCTTTTTCGAAAACGAGAAAACGTGAACTCAAAGACGAAAACGTCACAATGAGCACCGCAATGGTCTTTGGGTACGTACAATACATCCTGTCGATCACACATCGTCTGAAGGTACGATAGCATATACACGAGTAGAGAGTCAAGTGCTATTCGATCAATACATAGAACGGTAACAAGGCAAACGAAATGGCGTCCAGGATTGTAGCGTCCGCCCTGTCGGTTGCAACAAAAACCGCAGCGAGAACCAGCACAAAACGATTTTCTTCCTCGGGGGCAACCGCCGCGCCATCTGTGGAACACAGCAGGCCAACCTTTCGGTACCTCACGGCGTGGTTCTGTCCCTTTGCTCATCGCGCCACACTCGCACTAGAACACCACGGTGAAAGGGTCGATTACGAGTGGATCGAAGCCCTGGGGTGGGAACAGCGGGCCGACAAAAACAACGTGACAGGGACGGGGCAGGAATGGTGGTACCACTGGAAGGCCGACGAGCTCAAGAGGACCAATCCCAGCGGGCTCGTACCGACACTGATCCCGGTCGACCCAATCACAGGCAAAAGCGACGAAACAAAACCGGTCTTCGAATCGCTCGTGACAATCGATTTCATCGACGAAATCAGTGGCGCTTGTGGGACCGAGCGGTTGGTCTCTGAAGATCCCTACGAAGCGGCGAGGTGCCGCGTATGGGCCGACAAGGTTAACCGAGGTAAGTGGGCGATGCGATGTTTGCTGCGCAGTGCGAAGAAATCTGTGTGAATCTTCTATACGTTCCTAACGTATATCTATCACCGTTCACCGAATGGGTTGAAATCACAAATTTATCTCTCTACCTATTCTTCGATCGATCTGCATTTCTCCGTGTGCTATCCATCGTCATCAAAAATTGCAGAATTGTGCTCTCCATATTACGGGGTTTTGGTGCGAAAGGAGGAGGACGAACGAATGGAACATTTTGAGAATTTGATCAAGGGACTTGAATCATTTTCCAAAGAACTAACGAAAACCCCAGGGCCTCTGTTTCTCGCCGACGGACAACTCTCGAACATAGACCTGGCACTGGTGCCATGGGCTTATCGCTACTACGTATTTGAAAAATATCGAGGTCAAGATTATGTCATTACACCGGAGCGTTATCCCAAGCTGCAACCCTATTTTGACTGGTACGATCATGTCATGGAAATGGACGCGGTCAAGCGAACCCTGCCCGACAAGGACAAGTACCTAGAACATATTGGGAAATACGCCGATTCGTCGGCAAGGTCCAAGGTTGCGAATGCGGTCCGACGAGGCGTCGCTGCCCACGAGCTGGACGACGAAAAGGATGAATACTGATAGGAGAAGAACTAATATTTAGACCATTCTCGTGTTGTGTTTAGATTCGTGTATTCATGACGGTTTTCAGTGACGTTGTAACGCAAACGTGTAGAGTTTTGATGAGTCATGATGCAGGTAGATCAGTTGATTACCAAAAACTTCATACATGTATCATTTTACCCTGTGAATTAGGAGATGCACTAGGACGGCCAGAACCATACCAGTAAGTGGAAACAGAAAAACAAAGAAGCTAAAGTAGGGCTAGCAACAAATGATTGCCAGATGGATGCAATGCACAAGGACAACAAGTTAGCACTTCACATTAATTGAAACTAGTAGTAGTAGTATAACTTGAAATAGGTTTTGAATAGTTGAGGAGAGACCAATAGTAGTAACAATACAGTTTTCGTGTGGTAGTTTCCCCCAGTACCATTGACCCATATCCCCCTTTACTATGCTATGTAATGGCCTCAACAAGCCAGCCACACAGCCCTGGTAATTCCTTCTTTATACTACTAGTACTGTTTATTAGTACTACCACTATTACTAGCACAAGAAGGAATAGGGAGAGGATCACTTTTTACTGTGGTATTTCTAGTAAAGCAAAATTTTGAGTAATACTACTAGTAGTAATTATAGTATTTAGCCCAACAATAACAGCAAGTAGTAGTAGTAGTAGTAGTAGTAGTAATTGGACTATTACTACTACTACTACTACTACTACTACTACTACTACTAAGAAGGCATATTATATGTGAAAGATAAGGAAAGACATAATGATTGCACCCCAAGACTGATTAAATTCAATCCAGCAGGGACAGCAGATTTGAGATGATTTGTGTTTTCATTGGATTTTTTCTTCTTTCTAGTATCCTAGACCAGTAGAAATTGTGCCTCATCTGTTCCATGGTGTTCTTACAACATAACCAAAGATGGTCACTCCTCCACAAAACCTCCTCAGAGGTAGGAGATGCCCCTCAGAGCAGCTAGGAGCATTCTTCTCCCTAGTCAGGAGAAGTAGTAATGGCTCTGGTCAACATACCACCTCTTCCAGTTCACGAGGTTAAATATAAAATTTAGATTGTTTTACTACATCACCAAAGACAATGGTGGTCCAGCATTAGTATTTTGGGTACAAGTGCAAGCAACCACCAGCAGGTTGCACCCCCTTTTTGTACAGACTAATAATAACATGATAATATGCCTGTATTTGGCTCCCCCACTATCTACCTTCTCAAAAAGCTCCTCAAATAAACCCATTGTTGTTCTTGAGGAGAAGAATATAACATTATAAACCAAACAATTCACCACAATCACCATTTTGTTTCAATTCAGTGCATACTACTACTACTATTAGTGCTCCAAATGTAAGATTTCAAATCAGAGAATGTCTTTTTACATACAATTAGGACTATTACAATCCTCTGTCAATCTCTTTCCTCCTGAACTTGAACTGCTTGGCAGTATCTCCTCTTCTATCATAATCTTCAATTTCCCAAATTAAATGTGGATAAGTTGTTACAGAATTCATAGAAAATGATCCATTCTTGAAAAAACTTGAAACTTTAATATCATTTAACAACAACTTTGTGAACTAGTAGAAGCACTACTAGTAGGGAAGCCACAACCATTATATCTGGTGTGGTGGTCTACTAGAAGAGGCACTAGTACTAGGCAAGAAGCCACAACCATTACATTTGGAGAGAAGAAAGCTACTACTACAAGTAGTAATTGCTCTGAGGGATGACACTCCCTAGTAGGGTGCATGACCAGGCTAGTGCTGATGGTGTAGTACTAATATGATTGTAGTACCACCAGTGTGAGCTAGAATTATTTGAAAAATTGGATCAGTAGTGTGGTGTTTTAACAAGTGTTGGAAAGAGAAATAGAAGAGACCAGTGCTGGAATTGCTGATGCTGGTTTGTTGTTTTGTGATAGGATTGGTATTGGCAGTGAAGATACTACTACTAGAAATGACATTGTGAATGCTCTTGTAGATCAGCTTTTTACAAACTCTGATACAGTGTTACTAGTAGTAAAAGGGTGGTATTGGTGACATTGCACCCATAAGATTCAGAATCAGTGGGAGAGAGAATGGTCTTTGGCAGACAAAAGTGGGAATGGAGAGAAAACAGGTGTTCATCTCTTGTTGTCAATTGTGCTCAGTGTAGGGTTTGTATTTGGGAGATAGAAAGTGATATATTTGCTCTTCTAGTACAAACAATATATGATCACATTATTTGCAATAACACTAGTACTATATCTCCTCCTTGGAAATTGAGTCTTAATACTTCTAATTATTTCTTATTTCTGCTGTATAGAGAGAGACCTCACCAGCGTCTAAGGGATGTAGTAATGATAGTCTCTCTTTAAAATTGTCTCACTAGATCCTACTAATAAAGTTGGTACCCTTTTGTTGTCGCCATTGTCCTTTCTGAACAGTTCATCAATACTTCAAACCCCACTCATGCTGTTTGTGGTTTGTGATGCAGCTTGTTGATCTTGATGCATAACAGACAAAAAAGATGTTTCCCCTTTTGTAACCATCGTTCTCTCTTTGAACTTTCTTAGGCCTTCTATACTAATAGCAAAGACCTCATTAGCAACAATGATGATTTCACTCATCAATTCCCTGACCTTTGATTGAAAATAATCTCTGTAATTAGCACAAAAGAAAAAGAAAGTTGAAATGGTACAAAATACTGTACCTCTTTTGTTCAAAAATGACCAATACAAGAGGAAACTAGTATTCATATTATCTAGACCTTTATCTCAAATTAGACATGAGTGTAATACAATTTCTGACTGACCAGTCAGTTGATTTAACAATAATACCTATAGAACCTTTGTACAGACAGAGTAACAATAGATCAATTTTAATGGATTTCTGGTAATACCCCCTCACAATTCATGTAGTAATTCTTGCACTGCTAGAACTCCCCAGACCCCTAGACTGGTACCAAAGTAATGTTCAAAAACAGAAGCATGAAACTTGACTATTAGTCAGTGTAAAGAACACGTCAAAAACAATGTACCAATAAAACACCAATACTGGTATTAGAAGTACAGGAAATAAGCAAACAAAACAGCAATGTCAACCAATTCCCAGACTCCTGGAAGGAGCAATTAGAAGCATCCTTCTACCCAGAGGTGACAGCTCTGGCTTACCTGGAACCTCTTCTAATATTTCATGAGCAGATAAAAAATAATATTAAGTTTCTTTTTGGCAATGCCAACAACCAAGAAGAAATTGGACAACAGAGAACAGATCATGGTTCTTAGTATTACCATAGAATGGAAGACTATGCTCAACAAATTACTTCCTTCCTAAATGAGGTCTTCAACAGCAATAATACTGCTTATGGGGAAAGAAGAGGCTTTGTTCTTAGAAAGCTGGTGCTGATGTGGCAAGAAAGAATGAAAGGATGTAGTAGTAGTAGTAGTAGTATAATCTTGTCCCCCAGCCAAGATATGATCACCCTCAAGAAGATCATGTACAAAGTCAGTTCTACTAGCACTGGCCATAAATTGTGTTGTAACCAAATTAGAGAACATAGAGCCATCTGATGGAGAAGGATCTACTAGTACAAGGCCTTGCTTGTGTCAGTTAGTACTGGTACTCCCACTATTACTACCACTGGTACTAATAGTTGTGCTTCACTTTGGTCAACAGGAAGACCAGTAAGCATGCATGCAAAATCAAGAATAAACTGTGAGAAATCCAAACTTTAATTTCTGGAGGGAAACTGTCCAAAAGGGGGGGGGAAATAAATTCTGACAAATTCAGGCCAGCTCTGTAGTAAATCCCCACACAAAAATGTCATCATCAAATTCTATTTCTTTCTTCACAAACAAACATTACACATACACACCCATGGTACTAGCAACTAGTAGCTACTCTACTATATCTCAAATGAGACATCAGCTTCAACATAATTTTTATATATACAGGATAATCCAGGGGTAACAGAACAAATTACAAAACCTATCAATCTTTTCCTCCAGTTTATGACAGTGATTGAGTTGTACTACCAGTACAGCGTGGCACATGCAAGCGAAACTGTTTGGTCGCACAAATGTGGGATTGAAAAATTCAAGTAGTACTGAGCATGTGGATTTTGTATGTGTTTAATTTTTTTGTCAAAGTAGTCATTACACAGAAAAATATGGGCCCAAAATGTAAGACTATATTGTACATTTGGTGGCCACGTCTATTGTATAGCGTTGGCGTAGTTATTCCGGCCGACCCAGTCATACATTTTTTTATTCGTTTATACATACACGTATATCGATGAATATTCGTCGGACGGCCTACTCCTCCACCACGTTAGAAAGCTCTTTGAATTTTCTTTTGAACCATGTGCTTACCATACTTAAGCGTCTGTTGGAGGAAAAGTTATTGCTGTTTGAGTGAGTTGAACCTCTCTTAATGCCCTACGTGTTTTTTGTACTGTGCGTCAATTTTGGGCCATCTAATTACTGTGTAATGACTAGTGGGATTAAAAATTTGACTTGTACTAGGCCTACACCAGCATGCACGTGAAAGCAAAAACTATTTTGTACATGTGCAAAACTATTTGGTTGCACAGATGTGGGATTCAAAAATTCAGCACATGCCGGCTGTACACTACAGTACAAGACATTTTTTTAATCCCACGAGTTACACAGTAATTAGATGGCCCTAAAGGTACAACTGGTGCGTACATTTGGTTGCCAACTCTATACAATACAATACCAAGATTGGTGCCAAGACTTCAGTTTGCTACATGATCACCCTATGGATGTGAGTCCTTTCTTCAAGATCATCAAGAGGCAGAGTCATCTTTCAACAACCTAAGACACTGATTCTTCTTTGCAATTCTTTCTGACAAGGGAGTGCCTGCTTCTACTTCCAGACAGATAACTGTTTGCCATTGTGGTTGACTGTGCAGCAACTTCACCTCAAGTGAAAGCAAAAGCATTCTCAATGAAGAAAAAGGTTCAAGGTGCATTTATTTATACTTGTGGATTTGTGAGTAGTAGCAAAGATGGCTGTCCAAATATTCATGTGGTGACGGAAGCAAGTAATGCGCCTTCCTTTGTTGATCCCTCTTTGCACAAGCTTTTCTTTGACAGTCTTATACCACAGTGTATCAATTAGATGTATACTCAGGGGAAGAGTTCTAAAGGGTTCTGTGGCAGTCTTGGCTCCCCACTAGTAGACAAAGAAGATTCAATAACATCTGGCCACTGTCAGGGGAATCTACTGTGCATGCATGGGCTCAGCCTATTATCACCACCAAGGAAATCCCTGAGAGGAGACTTGATGAGGTAGTGGAAGATCTGGAAGATGGAAGGAACTCAAAGACCAGAAAACTTTAAGAAGCTAAGGAGCTTTTCACTCAAGCAGAACAGTGTTCCCCACTCTTACTTCAGAAGGGGAATTTTCCTCCAAACTCCAGCTCTGAATTGATAAGAACCCTCCTCTTGATGTCATTAGTATCAAAGCAGCAAAGTTTCCTCTACTAGATGATTTTGTCAGAATTCAAGTAAGAGAAACCTTATTGAGCCATCATGGAAGACACCATGAAAGGGTACAATCAAGGCCATCCAGGATGGAAAGATCTGCACCAAGACCAGGGGCAATTTTTTTATCCAACTTGTGAAGGATTTAGCCTCTACTGATCCTATTGCCAAGACCCCAACAATCCGTCCAGCCAAACTCCCAGTTGCAGTTATTCCCCATCCTCATATCATATCCTTTCAAGAATCTCATGCTTTCTTCACAAGAAAGGTTTCTTGTCACTCAGGATTGGTACAAAGCTGCTGAAACAACCCTCACCTTGTCTGTTAAGAAAGCAGACTGTGTTGCTTCCCTGACTACTGACATAGATAATGCCAATTCAAGAGCTGTGCTATTTGCCAAGAAGATTCAAGGAAGACTGCCAAGTTTCTTTGTCAGTGACAGAGTCCCAGCTAATATAAGATACCTTCATCCTGGTAAACACTTTCATTGGGATTCACAATCAAGATACATTCCAAGAACTTCTACTTTGGTTGTTCTCTCTTGTCATGTGGCTCGCAATTCTGAAGCAAGGGGATGTCACAAGAAGCACCTCTCTAGTGACATGAATGCTTTCAAAGAAGTTGCTGTTGATCAAATGCAATGGAATAGCAGCTACATGCTTGAAGATTCAAGCTGGGGAACTCTTATGATAGCAGGCATGTCAGAGCAAGTGTTTTGTGAAAGGATGAAGACTCACCAAGCAGATTCTTTTCTGAGGTGACCCCTTGCTGCTCAACACAGAAGACTTTATCAAGTGGTATCCAGATGAAAGCATTGCTGAGAATAATAGAAGGAAGGAAAGAAGGATTTCAGGACATCAAGCAAAGAGGAGTTAGGTTGGATATGAATAGGAGCAAGATGGGCAAGGAGGTCTTGTCACTTTTTGATTGGTACTAAGAGGAAGAAGGAGGAGAATTGAAGAAGCTGTCATGGCAAAGCTCCACTCATATGAAGACAATTTGACTAACAGGATGTACAGACACCTCTGTTTTCTGTTTGAGGCTATTTATGCTGTTGCTCTCAAACCTTCTGATGATGTCAATCAAGAAAGTCCTACAGGAGAGGAGAGGGAACTTAAATATTATGGATAGTAGCCTTTAGTACTAGTAGTAATAATGTAATATGTTCCATATATTTGCACTGCTACCACTAGTAGTAGTCACAGAAATAGTAGGAAGATTTGCATGGTTGAACTTGTTCTTCATCTACTACTCATGACATGTCCCCTGGTGGTACTAGGTCCTCAATCTGGAAGTCGTCCTTGTTTTGTTGGGTAGTAGTACTAGTAGTAGTAGTAGTAGGAGCAGGTGCTTTGAATGGAGATCATTTCAAGAACTACTGAATTGTTTAGGCTTACTACTAGTACTGGTGTAAATGAATTAAAAAAATCCCTGGGGGGAAATTTTTCTTTATGGTGCCTAACATGGAAAATGAGTTTTTCAAAAAATGCTGGAAAACACTGCACGTCTTAAGTCTTAGCAGGCGTTGCGCACCCCTCTAAATTATGACCCCTGGCGTCCCGTTTGTTTGGAGTTTGGAACCAGTACTTTGCTCATACCTATGGAATAGTATGTACTTGTACGTACGGTACTCATGTTTAAAAATCATGGAGGTCGAATAGAATAAAAAGTACAAAAATAGTCGTTATTCGACTGAAATTGTCCTTCTGGAGCTAGGGAGTTTGAGGGGGAGAAAAATGTAAAAACATGGTATCAACAAATTTTTATGTAAAGCATGTACTAGGTTGAATGTGATTTTTTTCTGTAAAAATATAAAGTTACGGAAATGAGATGTTGGTGGCACGTTATGAGTTTCCTGATATGCTAGTATGAAAGATTGAACAAATGACAAACGTACAGTACAGTACGTACCATACCGTACACCCAACTTTCACCGCAAAAGACCTAATTTAAAAATTCCGTTCAATTTCTCAATTTGCTGTACCGTGTACGGGTACGTACGTACTCAACTGTAAAACAGTTATCGTACCGGCCGATACGTCGTATCGTACGGTGGCCGGGTCGTCCTACAGGTTGACTACCGAAAACGGTACTCGTACTGCTACGTTAGCGTCCCGGACGCAATGTACGTAGTACCCGTAACAAAACCATCACAGTCGAGAGGGAGGAAGACCCGTCAATTCTCAATTCCCGAGTCACAACGATGAAGGCAGTTACAATATATATTACAGTATTTCAAGTTTCGGCATCGATGGTCTTCGTAAAGAAATCACACTGGGAACATCGACTATGAACGATTACCGATAGCTCACCTTATCAAATCAAAAACTTGCTCTATAGACTGACAATCAAGAATCATGAAGAATCAGACAGTACAAAAATCGGCACCGCCGACCACTACGATGAAACGTTCCAACAAAAAAAGGACAAAACCAAAACCCAATTTTGGGTTATCCGCCGCTGTGATGTTGCTTGTGGTTGCAGATTTGGTTTATTTTTTCAAGCTATCAAGGGAAGCCCTTTTTGATACTCCTCGCGACCTGAATAACGCAGGACATCACAGTCCATACAACTTATTTTCCAATGGGAATCACCTGTCGAAACTCGGCAATCGTCTGGCATCCATACGGAATACCAACACACAGGACAAGGACACCACCGAGAACGAAGCAAACGAGAACAAAGCTCCGACAACCAAAGAAAATCTTAGTCGCAGGGCGCCTACGGCGGAGCAATCTAAGTTGATCGAAATCGCGAAAAAGAGAGGCCTAACAAATATCGACGACAAAGGCCCGATTCTAGAAATTCTCACCCAGGCTGGGCTTGATTTACACAAAGAAGGGGATGTAGATCAAGAAACAATGGATCAGCTACCCACTTGGACCCAAGTGGAACAGTTATATGGTCCAACACCAAAGATCATTGGTCTGGAGAGATGCGGCGAATTCCGGGATTCCGTCGACCCTTCAACTCGATTTCTCGCAATGGCTGGAACCTTTAACACCGGCACGAATTTAATCCATGCCGTGATGAAACACAATTGCCAAATCACAGAACGAATGGAAGTATACGGCGCAAAATCAAAAGGGATTCGATGGCAAGGTACGCAACAAAAGATTTCAAATGCATGAAGTCGTGACATTGCGCTCACTTTTGTTTGCTTTCCGCGTCATATTTTGTTTTGTATGCAGTTCCCTGGGGAAAACACTGGATGGCAAGATACCGCGATTCGGAACACTCGACAAAGACCGATGCTGATGTACCCCGCAGCAATACCCTACCGCTTGTTTCAATCCGTGACCCTTACACGTGGATGCAATCGATGTGCAGGCATGGCTATGCAGCGAAATGGCCCCACATAAAAAGTCACTGCCCCGGCTTGATAGCCACGGAGAATGATATCAATACAATGCCCCGGCTCAGAAGACTATACGGTCACATTCACAACGAGGACGAAAACGTTGAAAAACTGATTCCGGTGAACATTGCGTACAACAAAAATCTAACCCACTCTCACCTGTCTCTGGCGCATTGGTACAGCGAATGGTACAAAGACTATCTCACAGCGGATATTCCCCGAATCATGGTACGGTTCGAAGATTTATTGTTTCACGGAGAGGAGGTTGCGAGAACGATGTGTGAGTGCGGCGGAGGAGTTCCGGTCCCAGACAACGGACGATCAGGAAAATTCATCCATATATCGGAAAGTGCGAAAACAGGCCTGGCCGCGCACGGACCCCTGAAAGATCGAACAAATTTGGTGGGTGCCCTGATCAAGTACGGCAGCGGCGCCCATCGGATCGATTCTATGACGCAAGCGGACCTGGAAGCGGCACGGCGGTATTTGGATCCCGAAATGATGGAAACATTCGGGTACAAGCATCCGCGGCTGCCAGACCAACAGCCAGAGGACGCGCAGGAAATGTCAGCGAACGCAATGGAAAATGTGCCGACAGAGAGTGGTCGCTATGACGACGACCATTCTTATACACCGGGGAAATGATCTATCGTAGATGTATATTGTACTAGTATGGCTGCTAACGATAGTGTTGATGAATGATTATTTTTCGCAACTTTTGTAGCGATGTTGAGTTGCTAGCGGTAGTAGCAATATTTCTTGTCGCTTAGTGGTCTGTTTTTGTTACAGCGGCGGACCGCTAACTCAACCTCACTATTTTATGATGCACCAAGCATTTTCTTGTTCTTGAAGAACAATAAGATGCTTGGTGACTCTTTGCATTTAAAAGGATACGAACTACTTGTAACAACCTGAAACGGTATTCGTATCTACGGTAAGAGTATCGTTCGTACCGGTGAAGTACAATGACTAGGGACAATCCTTACGAACCAAAACAATTATATTTAAAAAAATGACTTCTTCAATCAGTCACGGATTATTCTTATCCGTTGATCAATATGAAATCTACGTGAATGAATACTATCCTATGTACACGAGGTACTGAATCAATAATCAATCCATCCGATGTGCCTGGTTTTCAGACTCGCCCAGCGTTTGTATTGTATGTGCATCGTTAGGTTTGCCCTGTGAATGAATGATGTATCAGTAGGCCTTAGTACTTTGGCTACTATCAAATTGACTAACGAATGCTTTGTTGGTCGTTTAGTGCTGTTAAATAAATAATATTGAAAATCCGCGTAACAAAATTAGAGGAGGACTTCCTGCCGGTCCGAGTAGTTACGATACAAATGCACGTTCCCGCGGTTTCACCTGCCGTTCCATAGGATGGTATTTATGCTTGGGGAGCAACACTGCATCCCATTAATCAGAACCATACGTACCGTATCGTAAAGGAAATGACATGTACTAAGTGTTGCACCTATCCATTCAAGTAGTACCTCAGAATACCCCTTGCCTATCCAGGAAGTGCAGCAGATCGTCTTGCGATTGACATCTGACAACTCGAGCATTGAGTGGCAACTTGTCGTCTCCGTTCTCGTCGAGAGGTAGGAAGGATCGAGACTGAGAAGTTAAAGGCGTAGCTTATTGAGGTAGCATCGTGCAACTGGCGAGTACCTGGTACAATACAGCACGAGATCAATACAACGTAGCAAAAGTACTTTCAGTATGCCGACGGGAATGAACGATGGCGGCGAAGACGACTCGACGATGTTTGGGATACCGGCATCTCCAGGTTCTTTGATGGGATCATCGATCCGTAGCAACCAAGTCCATTCCTTCGACATTGAATCTGAGTCATGCTCCATTGCAGGGGAGAACCCAGGCTGGAGGCTCGGTATGCCGTGGTTCAGCAACAATAACAACAATAGCAGGAGTAACAACCAGCAAGAGCAACAACTAAAAACCAGGAACAACCCGGCAGACGAAGCAAGTCGGTATTACGGAGGGATAATGAAAGCCGCTGGAGAAATTGATGTGATGTCCCCAATATCCACGGGATCGAATGAGAGCCGCCACTTTCAAAGTTCTCGAAGAAACCAAAAACGGGCCAGTTCGTTTAAGGGCAGCAGAGGCTCTTTCCATGGCAGCAGTAAGATGAAACACGAGCGTCACTATGCTACGAACAGAAGTGGCGCCGCCAACAACACGATAAATAGCAATGGCAAGGCATCCGTTCCGATCATTCGAACGAAATCCAGCGCAGGAGATTCAATTGCCGACTTTGACGAATCGGAATGGACACCGCCCGATTCGTCCTACGGAGCCGCTTGTCCGGTGTGTGGATTCATATCGAAACGAGTGAGACAAATGATCGAAATGACGCTAATCACTGCTATGATATTTTTTCTCATCTATCTTTTGGTCACAACATCGATGAAAATTGCGGAAGCCCATCGAAAAGAGGGGAACAACAACAGCAGCTCGACTTCAACGGTTGTAACTAACGACGATGTATACGTAGAAAAATATAGCAACGGAGATGATGCGGTAGTAGTGGACGATCAGTACACTGAAAGTATCGACGACGCGTATGTCGACGATGCATATATCAACAACAATGATTACACAGCTGATGACGATGGAGGCGGTGGATATGCCAGTGATCAAAGTTACAACAATGACTTCAACTACAACAACCAGAATTACAATAATTACAATAGAAACAGACAGTACTACAATTTCAACAACGATGATTTCAATGGGGGTGAACGAGATAGAAGGCAGCGGCGGTTGCGTCATCCAAGAGATATACACGATCGCGGCAGGGGAGGGGTCCATCCAAACAACAAAATATTGGATCGAATAAAACAGCTCGTTTCTGACAGGACGGCTAGCTTCATTGCCCACTGAAATGTTGAAATACTACTATCATAATCTTCTTTTATTTCAGAAAAATCATCATTGTCTTCTTAAAAAGTACTTCGAAGTAGTGCTCGGTATAGTAGGCCCGAGAGGACTATATAAAGACAAGCTACATTCGAAATGTGGATCAGTAGATTCATTAGAATTCATTCGGAGGATTCGAAAAAGTTGCAGCGTGCCGAAAACGATCCTACAATCTTCGAGGTCTACCAAACACGTCTCCAAGTGAATCTTAGGTATTTGTCCGACCAATCGCCTTCGGTTGTTTTATGAATGTATAGTTCGTTGTTGATGGTGTTATTTTTCGACAGTTTGGGTTTTGTGAAATATTTTTCTTCGTTATCTCGTTTGTCGCTCGATCGATCTTTCCTCTTCTTTTTCGTTTTGGGTTTGTGTTCTGCTGGAAGTGGCAGGCAACTCAATGTTTCGGGACACGATTTCTCGTATTTCTTCGACATCTCAACGAGGGGTGGAATGGAGAACTTATCCATTCGTTTGTGAATGCTAACAACTTCCAGCGAGGGGCTTTCGTTGGCTCTATAAAAAAAATGCGGATCGGTCCAGCCATAATTCCCCACAAAATCTTCGTCACACCCACCTGCGGCCCAATAAGAGTCTGTTGTAGTCAACATCACTGCGGGGTGAGGATATTTGTTTTTCAGTTTTCCTTTTCTGCCAATTCTCTGGAAATTTGCATACACAGGATTTGTCTCGTTCATATATGCATCACTCTCGGGAAAGTGAGACTTCGCTCCGACAGAAACTGAGGATGCAGAGTCAGCGCTCAAATTTGACTTCTTCTCCATCAATCCGAGAACGAATTCCATCGTTTCCAATGGGACAAGAACGTCTGCATCGTTCATAAATACCCACGGCGAAGTGCTATTTCTAACTGGTTTAATTTTGTGTCCTGACGTCTCGGCATTGAAAGATTCTCCATAATTCTGAGATACTATCCAAAAGCCGAGATTGCGTGCTCCACCAACGTTCCAGTCAATGTCCTGATCTATTTCGTAGATGCGGATGTCTAGTGAAGTCACGTTTGAAGCTTCGGATCCGTAGTGATTCTTCTCATCGGCGTTGCTGTGATTGGATTTCATTCGTTGGATGTTTGTCTCTTCAATAGATGTAGTAGTAGATTCATTGTCAAGATTATCGGATTTGTTATGAACATTTAATTCGAGAAATTCTTTTGCACGATGTCCAACAATGCTTCCATCATCGATGATGACGAATCTAATTCGGGATAGAACTTCTTCGGAATAATTTATCCAGGAATCCAATTGATGTGCGAGAAGTCGATCATCGTTGTAGTATAGTATCAGAACCGTGAGCTTCGGTTCTTTCAAGATGTAGGTGTTTGACTCTCGATCCCTCGTTTTTCTGTTCATCGCAGCGAACCAAGCCGAAGCAGGACACTCTTTTTTATCCATCGGTATAAGGCGATGTATGTTTCTATCCAGGGTTGCAACAGCGCATTGCTGGGTTGTTGCCCGGGGGACGTTCGGTGAAGAGATGTTCCATTGTCGTCGCTTCGAATTCCCTTCAGCGTATTCGGTGGCACTAACGTTACTAGCGTGGTGAAACTCAGGATTGTCAATACTGAAAAAAGCGTCAACATTCTCTAGGTCCCGGCTATCGATTTTGATGGAAACTAGTACCTGCTCGAACGTACAATAGAATATGCACCCGATGAAAATGAGAACCGATTTTGTTGGAAAATAATGTAGAGAACCATGTGTCTCCTTGTGTCGTCCGCGGTCACCATCAACAGTTTTTGTATCTTTTCCGTAAAGAGGCCGTGGCATCGCTCCCTAATCTTTCTTTGTCAATCTAATGTTTACCATGGACAGTGCATGACGGAGCAATGATGCTGTCTCCGCATCATGACACTGCGCACTCTCTAGTACTGAACTCGTAATCGTACGAGCTTCCAAAAGATCAATCTTTGTGCATTCATTCCGAACGATAACACCGACATGTAGACGCCCTGTCCATAATGATCTTACAGTACAAGTTGGAAGTACTCGTACTCGTACGTAGTACGGTACGTAGTACGGTAGGTTGTATTTGAAATTCAAAAAGTAGTAGGAGTGAGCCAGTAAGCCACAAATCACGTAAATCACGTAAATCACGAGTAGGAAGCGTGCACGCTCCTCGTACAACGTTCGTTCTTCGGACAACAGGAACCCTTACTACGCGTTTCGTAACAATTGAAACCGGCCTCGAAAGAGAGCAAAAAGTAATAATTTCAAGTTCTTAACTTCCATTTGAAGTTATGAACTTCAAATGTCCTGGTAGAAAGTCTACGAGGTTCTACTGAGCTAGTTTTTGGATGGCATTGGGCGATTCCCGTTAATCTAGATGGTCTACTTTTCGACGGACAGACAGCCCAAAAATAGACTTTCTAGTCCGAATTTTTAGACTTTCTGTCAACGCAGGAGCCTGCCTTGACAGAAAGTCTAAATCTAGACCGGAATCCAAGAATGAAAATCTGTTGTAGGACTCAACTGAAAAAGACCCGCCAAATTTATGTTCAAAGTTTTTACTACGTTACTAAATCTTTTCTTAAAAAGAAGCAACAAAGCGCCGGCGCCATGGTCGTGGTGGAAGACATAAAACACGATGTCCCCTGTCTTAGTCACTGCTCTTCTTTATCTTCGACTGAAACAAAGAGAGGACCAACTGCTGGAGGCGCTGTCTCAAGAGAGGACGGCGGGGGACATTCCTCGCACAATATTCATTCCACGAGCAAAGATGTCTACGCGTACTGGTCCTTATGCTACCATCCCTCCCTGCAATGGGGGACGCTTTCCTCCAGCGGCCGCACCAGTCCCTCCCCCGGGAGGTCAATCAAAAGTAGAGGGGTCCGGCCATAAGGCTGGTACTGCAAACTACTCTGAGGAAGAGCTCGTCTCATTGATGACTCTCATCAAGGAGATCCTTCCCATTGGTAAGGGAGACTGGCTAATGGTGGTTCACAGACATGGACAAGACTGGCCCTATGGAAGAACAAAGGATTCCATTAAGACCAAGTTCAATCGCTTGAGGAGAATGAAGGTGCCTACTGGGAATCCAAATATTCCCGAGTCCGTCTGCCTTGCAAGAGAGGCCCACCGGTTGATTGGAATCAAGGCGAATATTGGAACTGGAGAGGAGACCTTCGATCCAGTCAATGGTTACATCGATGATGAGGATGATGAGGACTTGGATGAGGACTTGCAGTACGCTTTGACTCCAAAAGCAAGCAAATCAACCAACAAAACAGCATCGACTTCCGACTCAACCGCCATTGTCGATGGCAAACAAGAGCCCATTGTCATGACAGCAACACCAAGAAAGAGATCTTATGGAAGACTGAAGAAGGAAATTGCTGAACAGGATGCTGTTCTTAAGGGATACCTCATGCAACAGGATAAGAGGGACGCTGACAGAGACAAGAGGGAAGCTGAAAGAGAGAAGAAGGCTGATGAGAGGGAAGCTGAAAGAGCGAAACGCGAAGACGCAAGAGATGAACGTTGGCTTACCATGGCCAAAACCATTGCAATGGCACTCGCTGGTAACATCAACAAGCGCCAGTGCACAAGCACAGGCAGTGAATCCCATGGTGAAAGCAACCAATTTCAATCTTCCGATTAGCTCACTTAAACGATTAAAGGATCGACGACGATTAGTTAGAAAACAGCAGCAAAAGACCAAATAAAGCAAAATAATGAGCTGAAAATAAAGAAGAGCATATTATTGTTAGCACGCGTTACACTGTGTTGTTCCAAATTAGCACGTGTTACACATTGTTGTTCCAAATTTTTGCCGTGGTTTTCTGTGGTCCTAGTAGCTGCATCGGTTTTCTTGCATACCTTTCGTGGGAGTGATTGGTTTTCATGCATACCCTTCATGGGAGTCATTGTAACCGGATTATACTGCAATGAAGAAAAATATCTTAAGCGCAAAGACGGAACAATGTGACGTCGAAATATATAATGTAATGAAGATGATGAATGATGCAACCAATGCATGTGAGTGCCGATCAATGCATGTGAGTGACGATCAATGCATGTGTTTTGAAGGCAAACCCCGGTTTGTGGGATTGCATCACGCGTGCTTACTATGAATTCCGTTGAAATCCCAGTTTTCATCAGTATACCTTTTCACCGGTAAACTGGTACTTCTAGTCCCGGTTTTCATTGTTACTATCAGCAAATTAGGAGAACAACACGGTGTAACGCCTGTGCTAACATGGAACTGCGCTGGTTTAATTGTTGCTGCTCACTATTTCCTGTTACTAAACTAATGAATACTCGTAATCGTAAACTAAACCGACCTCAAGCAAACTAACCATCCCCAGCCCCACAATGGCGGAGTCTCAGTACTGTAAGTGCGTTTAATTGTTTCTGCACAAGCGTGTTGGATCATTGTTGCGTTGAATCAGTGTTGCGTTGTTGCGTTGCGTTGAATCGTTGTTGTGTTGGATCGATGCGTTGGATCGACGCGTTGGATTGACGCGTTCTGTAATGAATCTAACAGTTTTTCTTTTCTGTTCAGTGTGACCATGGGAATTATTCAAAGAATGCATTGTTTCCAACTGGAGACACAGTCCTCCCTGCATGGAAATACCCATCAGCCAACGCCTCAAGGGTATGAGGGGCCTCCATCGCCTCGCGCGTCGCCGATGCCGGCGGCGTCTTCATGAAGACTGTCAAGATCTGGTTGTGTCCAATGGTACTGCATTGGTAGTTGTACAAGCAGATCATCAAGTGAATGATCACCTTCCTCTCCCCAAAGTCCTCCAATCTAAGCCTATCCTTCATCCTTGGGAACCGTCCTTGGATCATCCTCATGCCCCATTCCGACATCTGTCGAAGGGACGTGGCATCCTATTCAGTAGGAGGTTATTTCCATCCCCCTCTGGATCATTCTGAGAGCTTTGAATCAGATAGTCTCTGCCCAACAAGCCAAATGCTGAATCAACAACACACTTTGCTCCTCCAGCAGAGGCGCTGTCCACTTGGGCAAGCTTGTCGTAGACTCCATAGTCACTGATGGCGCTGTCGTGCCACGTGCCAGGGCAATTGAAGACTCCAATGCGGATCCTACCATCAGGTGCAAAGACAAACACCCCATTCACGTAAGTATTTGCCTTCCATCCRTTGWARAAGATCTCTTGTTTAAGCCAGTCCTCTGAGGTCTGGATCTCTGTCTTGAGCCCATCTGCTGCTGCCCACACGTGTTGTTCTCCAAGTCTTGGATATTTTGCTCCAATTGCCCTAACATACTCATTGATTTCTTGCTCACTTGGCAGACTGACCATGGCAAGTGGATGCTTATGAAGCACTGATAGGAGGATCCTCATGGAGAACTTGATCCATTTGTACATGACTGTTGAAGTAAGACCAAATGCCATTGCCAATCCTCTTGCAACAGATCCTCTAGTCCTGTACCAGAAGAGAACTAGTCCAAGGCAGCAAGTCGTGTCGGCCTCTCTTGGCTTTCCTTTCTTTTTTCCACTCCTAGTGGGGGGAGGAAGGAGAACAATCTCATTGTTTTTGATTGAGTATCTATTGAAAGCTGGACCAAATAGCTCAAGGAGATCCCTGAAGACCCTGTGGTCTACATCACAGCAGTTGAGGAGGGCTTGGTCACAACCAGACTGGAAGAGGAACAGGAATGGCGAGTCTGCATATCTCCTAATTGCAATCCTAGGCGTTCTTCTGTCCCTCCTGCGTCTCTCCTCCGGGGTCTTCTGTTTTTCTTCCCATTCCTCTACCAAGCATCCTCTACGCTTGATTGCCCAGTATATGCAAAGGGTCTCGATGACACCCATTGTTGTATCCCTTTTTTTGCTGGAGGACAACTACTGTCTTTTGCTTAGGAAAAGCTCAATTTATGAGTKGTAGTTGATATTTTGTTTATCAAAAATTTCATGTTTTAATTAGTACCCGCAGGCGCGTTTTTTCAGTCTTACTGTAGTCGTTTTTTCAGTCTTAGTCATTGCCGTTGGTGTGATTCCGAATTCCTTAAGAGTAGAAGAGCGCCAAAAATTTTGTCCGTTGGGGGCCTGTTTTAAATGATTCCCGTTAATCTAAAAAGTCTAAAATGTCTATTTTAGACTTTTAGACCATCTAGATTAACAGGAATCGCCCATTCATGATTGAACCAGCTCAAACCATTTTTAATCGCCCTGAACCATTTTTGTTTTGTTTTGAGGGGCCCCGGGAATTCATTCAGCCATTCAGCAGTCATTTTAAAAAACTAGCTCAGTAGAACCTGGTACTGTACATGATGTACGAGCAAAAGTTCATAACTTCAAATTGAAGTTAAGAAGAACTTGTTGAAATTATTACTTTTTGCTCTCTTTTGAGGCCGGTTTCAATTGTTACGAAACACATAGTACTTCGGTATGGATTGCAAATCAATTGAAATTACTATGTTTTCAGAGGGCATTCTGAACATTAGAATTCAAGTTCCCTCAAGTTCCCATTGTCAGACATGTTCTCAAGCTCTGGTAGTAGTACTGGTACTACTAGTACTAGTACTAGTACTAGTATTGCATCCAATTAAATAAAAGAGATGTGAAATTTCCTCTGCCCATACTCCATTGAAAACATACTATTTCTTATTTCCATCTTTCTTTGAAATAGTGTTCCCCCAGACAGAGAACAAAATGTCTCCCCTTGCAGCCGCAGCACTGAGGAATACTACTAGTACTACTAGTACTAGTATCATGGCTCCTTATAAACTGAGGGTTTTCTGGTAGAATTGTCATACTAGTAGCTAGACCAAGGGATAAGAGTAATAAGTGTCCCAAATTCTATGGTGACAAACAAGGAACTATTGTCTCTGATAATCTTTTGACTCATCTTGTTAGGAACACTAAAATCTGTTTCAAATATTGTACTTCTTGTTGGCCCTGTGGGGTTGGGATACTGAGTAATTTTGCATCTTTCCTTTTTCAAAGTTACAAAGGAGAAGGAGAATATCAGCAAACACTTCAGCCTAAGCAATACCTCTGGGGGTGGCCTTGACAGCAGTCTGTCAGAGATACCAGATGCACAAGTAGAAATGTACAAACCATCTGTCAAAGAAGTGGAGGTCCACTATAATTCACTTGACTTTGCAGTGAATGCCATTGGTTCCAACATCCTGAATGATGTGCTCAACTTAGATAGTAGTGTTGATGATATGTCAATCACAACACCTGTTGGAAAGAGGTACATACCTGACATGACAAAGTGGTGTAGATCAGCAAGCTCATGAAGATCATACAAAACAAAATAAAACACCATTGGTAATACTAGTGGTTGCTGATAAAGGGTTGTAGTACAAATGGGCTACAGGAGAGTCAGCACAAGCAGATGGTTTCACCTACTGGCTTAATGGAAACAGTTTGATCAAAACAAGGCAAAAATATTGGGAAAATGTTACCAACAAGCAACTCCAGAACTACAAGGTGATGGTTTGGAAGCCCAACTTCTTATTAGTGGAGGTACTACTAGTAGTAGTACTCTCAGGTATGCAGCCTGGTCAAATCAAGTCTTGGATTTGCTCTCGTAGACTGTGCCACAAGCAGATGCCCTTGGGGGCACCCATCATGATGCCTAGTACACAATTGTTTGAAGTTCAATGTTTTCATGTCCAAGTGTACTAATTTTCACATAAGTTTTGTCCCCTGAGCCTCTGGTTGATTTGATCATTTGTACTGTACTCTCCCATCTTCAATCCCACCTTCAGTTTGCACTCACTCTTCTTCTGTAGCAATGAAATGTGCTGGACTGTAATAAGTCAATTCATATTTGGAATATGTTTGACACCTGCATTCCACTCCATGTTTCCTTAGCTAGTAGACACCTTAGTACATGTGACCTTCTTGTTTATATCATAGCATATGAAACCTACTACTATCATTATGATAGTACTTTAGAATGCTACTATTACTAGCAAAACTAATTGTATTCTTTCTATGTACAAGTTGTTGTATAATATAGTAGTAGTGCAATCCATAAAGGGAGTAAAAATAAATAATGAAAATGGTAATGACGGTATTTTTATGAGCTCTAGCTTGTTCTGTTATTCTTAACAGCAGCTACTAGTACTACTCTTGGTTACTACTAACAAATAATAGTTATACCAGTGGTACTACTACAGGCAGACTCAGGCTACTAGTGGTATTTTTCTTCTCAAATTTTAGAAAGAAATCAAAAAGAAAAAGAAAAGCCAAAAGAAAAAGAACATATACACTATGACTTCGTGGTAGTGGGCCCACAAAAAACCTTGGAGCTTGAGGTAAAATACCAATGATTGCAGTTGCACTACAAGAGGTTCTTGTTGCTGCTATCCAACACAAATGTTGGAAACAACAACATTGTGACTGGAAAATACTTCCGGTCTGTAAATTAAAAACTGGAACTGCATGGAGATAAGGCTGGTGAATCTTCTTTAAAACTGAGTATGATGTAGTACACACTCCAGGTATTGCTCTTCAAAGGATAGGAAATGGTTGAACACTGGGGGCTGGGGTTCTTGTTGTGATTGCTGTCCAACACGAATGTTGGAAACAATAACATCATGACCGGAATCTTCTTCCGGTCCATAGCTACTAAGACCTGGGGATGCATAGATCCAGCTGAGGCAGACTAAAGTACTGCCATTGGCTGGGGACAGGGGGAGTGATATTACTAAATAGGTCTAGTCTTGATTAGATTGCCACAAGAGGCCAGGGAGGTGAGTTTTCCCCTTTGGAAGGGGATGTCACCAAGGTGGTTCAGATGACAGAAGGCCTTGTCCAGGTTTGTACTATGTAGGATTCAGTAGGAAATCTAGGTCATAATTTTCAGAACCCAAGTGTAATTTTGTGTGTTTGAAAAAATTTGTTTTGAAAATTATTGTTATTAGTAGTACTAGTAGTACTAGTACAGTAGATGCTCAAGTGTGCTCCTCATTCTGCTGGCAGGAGCATGTTGAGGCTTATTTCTCGTGAACTCTCGACACTGGTGCTACTAGAGTTGTATTCCTGGGAGTAGCTCTACTGGTACAAGTGGTGGTATTCATAGATTCTATTAGTACTACTAGTACTAGCTACTAGTAGTAGGAATACTTTAAGTACTACTACTAGGAAGGAGCTAGTATGACCTGTAATCAAAGAGAGTAGACTGTGTCGTACGCACCGTATGTTACGTACGTACGTATCTGTTAAATACTCTACCGGCCTCGCCGGCTCCCGGCGCACGCAACCCGCCATTTTCGAGCGTTCCCTGCCGAATATGAGAGAACTTGGCGAAGCAAAGTCGGAATGACCACCGCATAATTTGTCAAGAGTCACCTATTTTTTTAAACAAAAACAATACTGTCACCGAATTTTCGGGCTGTTCATTTTGATTTTTATCAAACCTGACCATTGATAAATTTGTTCGGGATGATAGAGTAGAGTACGAGTACCGTATGAATGCCTCCGAAGAACATGGTCACCCCTGAGTTAATCGTACGTACAAGTACTTCTGGAGCTGGTACAGTACGTACCGTACGGTACGAACGATGCTGATGCAATCCACTGGGTAAAAGATATTGATTTTTCCCCCTGCCAAGATGCTCGATTATTCGTAACTTCCGAGTAGAGCACTTCCACAATTACAATCATTTCCATCAATAGGACATTCGCATTCGAAAACAACTGTCTCGATTTTTCTTTCTTTACTACAACGTATTGTCACACAGACTCGACCGAACTAACCCACTTGGGCATCATCAAAAGATTCTTCTTACCATGAAAGTGAAAGGAAACATCCATCTCCTTTTGGCGCTGGCCATCACGAACATTCCATTGTCGATGTCGAATGACTCTGTTGTCGAGGGAAACAAACCGCAGACGTTGTTGCGCGGTGGATTCCGAGATCTACAAGTCGATACCACTGCTTCGGGTACGGGTGCCACTACCGACACGACCGCTACAGGTACGGGTACAACTAC